CGGTCCGTCCGTCCGTCCGGCGGTGGCCCTAGCGGTGTCCCGCGGTGTCCCGTGGTGTCCCATGGTGTCTCGTAGTGTCCGTCGCTGCTAGGGCGAAGTCCAGACAAATGATTCTCCCCCGTCCGTCCGTCCGTCTGGCAGTGGCTCGCGGTGTCCCGCGGTGTCCCGTGGTGTCCCGTGGTGTCCGCCGTTGCTAGGGCGAAGTCAAGATTCTCCCCCGCCCGTCCGTCCGTCCTTCCGTCCGGCGGTGGCTCGCGGTGTCCCGCGGTGTCCCGTGGTGTCCCGTGGTGTCCCGTTGAGTGAGATCGATAATGAGATCGATAGTGAGATCGACAGGTGTCCCGTGGTGTCCCCTGGTGTCCCGTGGTGTCCCGTTGAGTGAGATCAACAGTGAGATCGATAGTGATATCGAAAATGAGATCGATGTGCTGCCCTGAAGTGTCCCGAGGTGTCCCGTGGTGCCCTAAAAGGGAGATCGATAGTGAGATCGATAATGAGATCGACAGGTGTCCCGTGGTGTCCCGTGGTGTTCCGTGGCGTCCCGTTGAGTAAGATCGATGGTAGGATCGATAGGGAGATCGATAATGAGATCGACTAGTGTCCCGAGGTGTCCCGTGGTGTCCCGTTGTATCCCGAGGTGTCCTATGGCGTCCCGTTGAATGAGATCGATTGTGAGATCGATCGTGACACCGATAAAGAGATCGAGAGGTGTCCCGCGGTGTCCCGTGGTTTCCCGTGGTGGCCCGTGGTTTCCCGTGGTGTCCCGTTAAGTGAGATCTATAGTGAGATCGATAGTGAGATTGACAAGTGTCCCGTGGTGTCCCGTGGTGTCCTGTGGTGCCCCGTTGAGTGAGATCGATAGTGAAAACGACTGAGTCCGATGTTGGTTCCCCCCTCTCCCCCCCCACCACACACAAACAACCTCCTTATCACCCGAAGGGTGGTCGCATAGTTACCGTATGTCATGATGTTCTTTCCTCCTCCTCTTCCTCCTCTTCGTGCTCCTCCTCCTCCTCCTCCTCCTCCTCCTCCTCCTCCTCCTCCTCCTCCTCCTCCTCCTCTCCTTATCCTCCTGCTCCTCCTCCTCCTCCTCCTCCTCCTCCCCCTCCCGACCCTCCTCCCCCCCGTCATCTCCGTCCTCCCCGTCCTCCCCGCCTTCCCCCCCCCTCCTCCTCCCTCCTCCTCCTCCCCTCCTCCTCCTCCTCCTCCTTCTCCTCCTCCCCCCTCCTCCTCCTCTCCCCTCCTCCTCCTCCTCCTCCTCCTCCTCCTCCTCCTCCCTCCTCCTCCTCCTCCTCCTCCTCCTCCTCCTCCTCCTCCTCCTCCTCCTCCCCGACCCTCTTTCTCCTCCTCCTTCTCTTTCTCCTCCTCCTCCTCCTCCTCCTCCTCCTCCTCCCTCCGTTTCCTCCTCCTTCTCCTCCTCCTTCTTCTCCTCTTCCTCCTCCTTCTCCTCTCCCTCCTCCTCCTCCTCCTCCTCCCCTCCTCCTCCTCCTCCTCCTCCTCCTCCTCCTCCCGCCACCTCCTCCTCCTCACCCTCCTCCCCTCCTCCTCCTCCTCCTCCTCCTCCCGCCCTCCCCCTCCTCCCCGTCCTCCTCGATCTCCTCGATCTCCTCCTCCTCTCCTCCTCCTCCTCCCTCCTCCTCCTCCTCCTCCTCCTCCTCTTTCTCCTCTCCTCCTCCTCCTCCTCCTCCTCCTCCTCCTCCTCCTCCTCCTCCTCCTCCTCCTCCTCCTCCTCCTCCTCCTCCTCCTCCTCCTCACCATCTCCTCCTCCTCCTCTCCTCACCTCCTCCGCCTTCTCCTTCAACTCCTCCGCCTTCTCCTCATCCTGTTCTTCTTCTTCTTATTATTAGTATACTGTTTCTTCTTATTATTATTATTATTATTATTATTAGTAGTAGTAGTAGTATTATTAGTATTATTATTAATAGTATTATTAATATTATTATTAATATTATTATTATTATGATTATTATGATTATTATGATTATTATTATTAGTATTACTATTATTATTATCATTATTATTAGTATTATTATTATTACTATTATTATTATTATTATTAGTAGTATTATTTTTCCTCCTCTTCCGCCTGCTCTTCCTCCTCCTCCTCCTCCTCCTCCTCCTCCTCCTCCTCCTCCTCCTCCTCCTCCTCCTCCTCCTCCCTCCCAACGTCTCATGACGATCTCTCTCATGATCCCTCCCTCCCTCACTAGTGCTCCTCATGACGATCCCAACTTCCCTCCCTCCCTCCCCGCTCCCACTGACTGGACAGCTTCGGGCCGAGCGATGGCCTCAGGAGTGAAGGGGAGAATCCGTCGACCCACTGGGGGAGCTCGGCCAGGCCGGTTTGGAAGGGGGGGGGATGACAAAACTGCTTGCGGTGCCGGCGGCGTACCGGCGGCCCTAGCCCTGCTCCCGTACGAGCCCCGACGGCTTCGGCATGCCTTCCGCAGCCTCCAAGTTGCCTCGCTGTGTTCTCCGCGTGGCCCCAGATGGCCCCAAGAGGTTCCACTTTGGTTTCGGAACAGCTCTGGAAACCTCCAGGATGTCTTTAGAAAGCTGTTGGAGAATCCTACCGAAGGCCTCGACTAGCAAAATTCACCCCAATCAATTTATTTCCCTAGGAAGAGTACCGTTTCCTGGATGGTTGTGCTGGTCTTTCCAAGCTCCCAAGACTGCCTCAAAGCCTTCAGGATCGACCGAAGACGGGACAAGAGGCCCCCAAGCGGGCCCAAAGACGGCTCCAGACGGCCCCAGGACGGCCCAAGAACCGCCCAGGACAGCTCAAGAGGTCCCCAAGAGGGGCAAAAGACAGCCTCAGATCCCAAGAGGCAAGAGAGGCCCAAGACAGCCCAAGATGGTCCCAAGACGGCCCAAGAGGCGCCTAAGACAGCCCAAGAAAGCCCCGAGAGACCCCCAAGAGGCCCAAACGAGCCCCCTGGAGACTCCCCAACGGCCCCCTAGCGGCTTCAAACTGCTTTCAAGAGAGAGGGCTGGACGAGAGGCGAGGGGCCACTCGCAGTCGTAAAAAGGCAGTTCTTCACGCTCTCGGGGCCCTGGATGCCTGTCTTCTGGGAGGCGCTGTCGTGGGATCGACGATTGACGATCGAAGATCGATGGGACAACACGAGAAAACGATGAACGCCACAGTCAGTGAGCAACCGACAAGGAGAACGAGTTGATCGAAGGAGTCGGAGGGCGGAGGGGAGGAAGCGCGGAAGGAGGGAGGGGAAAGATGGAGCAGGAGAAAAAAGATGAGGAAGAGTAAAACAATCACCGCACATTCGTCGACTACCGATGATCAAGTATGATCTTGGTTGTCCACGGGCCCTTAGGGGTCGGCGGTGTGGCGCAAGCCAGCGAATCTGTTCAGGACCAAAAATGCCTCCTGGCACTATCAGGGGTCGTCACTGTGTTGGCCCCTCTTTGGACGACGGGCTCGATGCACCCGGCTGGGGCCGAGCACGCCCCCGCACGCGTGCCACTGTCCATGTGCACCGAGAGATTGGATATCGCAAGGTCATCGGCAGCCGTCGCCGCGCCGTCCGTGCTCAGCACGCCCAGGTAGACGAAGGCAGGCGCCGCGGCAAAGTAGTCGCCAGCCCAGCGTCCGAGGCGGAGCCTGCCCTGGTGGCCGAGGCGCCCCCCAGGAAGACGAACGGCCGCGCGTCGGAACAAACGGCGAGGCGACGTGTGCACCAAGGGAACTGGACACCGCAAGACCGTCGGCAGATACATCTCACCAACCTGGAGGCATGATCTGCACTCGCCCGTCGCGCGATTGGCCAGGCAGTCTGCTCGGACGTTCCCCTGCCCGCTGCTCCTCCCTCCCCTCCTCCCTCCTCCCTCCCTCCCCTCCTCCTCCCCACCCCGCTCCCCCCTCCTCCCCCTCCCTCCCCAACCTCCTTCCCCCCCCCCCTCCCCCACGCTTCTCCCTCCCCCGACGACGGCCACCACCACCACGACCACGAGCACCACGACGACCATGACGACCACGAAGACGACCCTGACGACGCCGACCCTGAGATCCGACGCTGCAACAAATGCAGCATCGCGAAAGATCATGACCCCATCTTCCAGCGGCTTTTCTCGAGCTTGATCGATCTGTCATAGCCCCCGGGGCCCGAAGCCAGGCGAAAAAGCCCAGTACGAAAAAGTTGCAACGCCTGGATCTTAGGGGACGACGACGACGACGACGACGACGACGCCGACGCCGACGCCGACGCTGACGCCGACAACGACGACGACGACGACGTCGTGGAGGCGGCAAGGGGATCGGAGCTGGTTGGGCCCCGAGGAGATCGGTAAAGACGGAAGGACGAAGGGAAATCCGCTCGAAATCAGTCCCCAAGACCCCTCTCGGGGCCCATCTGGTGCAGTTTTCTTAACGGGCGAAGAACGGTATAAGATAAACTTTTCTTTGTTGGGGGCGCCTGTCCCAGGGCGGCTGGAAAGTTTATATCCTTACGGTGGCACCGTAGGGTTATAAATTTTCCAGCCGCCCAGGGGCAGGCGTCCCCGACGGCGGAAAAGTTTATGCTATAACGTTCTTCGCGCGCTGATTTTCGGCCCGGATCCGTTTTTGAATGCGCCGGGCCCGAAAACGGCACCTGGAGACGCTGCAAAGAACCTTCTCCAACCCAGAACCTCAAGCATTCTCTCCCCACTCTTGCTTTAGGTCGGGCATGTCCCCCTGCTGGCGGATTTTGGACGAAAAATAAAACATATTAAACAAATCTTCAAAAATGTCATAAAAATCAAGAGATCGTCCCAAGACTGTGTTTTACTATTTTTGAACATTCCTCCTGTAGAGAAACGCGCCCAACTCAAACCCAGAACCTCAAGCATTCTCTCCACCCCCTCTTGCTGGCCGAAACCAGCGCTAGGCCGCCTCAGACTCCCAGCTGGCTCCAGACGACGACGACGCTGGCGCACACACGACGACGACGACGACGAGGACGACGACGCCGCCGACGACGACGACGACGGCCATCGGCGGGCGCCTCGCCCAGCAGAGGCAGTGCCGCGAGCGCCGACAGCGGCGGGGGCGGCGAGGCCGGCTCGGCGAAGCCGGCGCGGGCCGCGTCGAAGTCGAAGACGACCACGACGCGCTCGAGGAAGAGCGCTGGGAGGGGGGAGCAGTGAGCATCGAATCGGCAAATCGGATCGAATCGAAGCGTGCATCGGATAAGACTGCATGGGCGCGGAGCTGAGAAGGGATCGGTTCGGCCGCGCCAGGACATGCACACAAGCGCCACGCAGGCATCGGGCAGCAGCGGACCGTCGGAAGATCGGAATCGGATCGGATCGGGCTGGCCAGAGTCGGCCCCGAATCGGATCGATCGGATCGAGATAGACCCTGGGGGGGTTCGAGGCGCGAGCTTCGGGTTCGAGGTGCGAGGTGTCCAGGCGCGAGCTGGGACAACGGTGGCTGGCCCTCGGGCGGGGGCCCTCGTCGCCGCGGCTGGGCGCAGCTCGGTCCACTGGCGCTTGGACCCCGCCGGGGGTCCGGGAGACGATCCGAGCCGCCGGGCGCCTCGCGGCTCGAGGCTCGAACCAGGTCGGGCAGGTTCTCCTACAGGCGGATGTTGGGCGATAAAGGAAAGATACTCGAGACATCTTGAAAAAACACCTCGGGGCGACATTTGAAAAAGGTGCAAAACAGGATCAAAAATAGTCGAACCATCGTCCCCAGGCTACTTCTTGCCCATTTTGGGGATGATCCTGCCACGGGCGGATCTTGGGCGGGAAGGACAAATGTCCCAGACAAGTACTCGAAACATCGTCCCCAGACTATGTTTGTTACCCATGTTTGGGATACTCCCCCCTGTAGGGTGCCATGCCCGTCAAACATCGAGGCTCGAAGGGCTCGGGCGGCAGGATCCACGGCGGCCGCAAGCCGCCCGACGGCCCCAGGCCCAAACGCCTCTCTGCGGCACTCCGCGAGCCAGGCCGCTCCGCGAGGGCCCCCCCCACAGCGCGCGGCAGCCTCGCGCGCGGAAACGCCCGGCGCAGGGAGATCAAAAACGCGACGCCCCATCTCCCTCTGGCTCCTCGCCCCGTCTCCCCCGCGCTCGGCCCCAGGCCTAATGTCTCCATGCGTAGGAGGAGGAGGAGGAGGAGGAGGAGGAGGAGGAGGAGGAGGAGGAGGAGGAGGAGGAGTACCAGGAGGAGAAGGAGGAGCACTCCTCGAGCCAGGTCGCTCCGCGAGGGCCCCCACCCTGCCCTCCGCCCAGAGAGAGCACACCCGGGAGAGGCCGCGGCGCCCCTCCGCCCCTCGCGCCTCGCCCCAGAGCGTTTTCTGCCGCCGGAGCCAGCGACGGAGACGAGGCGGAAGTCGTCAGCAGCGGGAGGAGGATAGGAAGGAGGAGAAACGACACCCGCCCACGGCAAAGGACTCTCCAAGCCACACACGGAAGATCCAAGAGCGCCGCTACGGAACGAAGGGAGGTGGATGAGGTGGAGGAGGAGGAGGAAGTAAACGCAGCGGGCACTGCGCGCCGTCGGCACAAGGGAACACGAACAGAACAATCATGACAAGGATGAGCAGCAGTAGCAGCAGCAGCAGCTCTTCCGTAGGGGGGACCTCCTTCCATGCCTCTTTAGGAGTCCAGCGTCACACCAAACACATACCCATTCACACACTAACTAACTAACTAACTAACTAACTAACTAACTGATTGACTGACTGACTGACTGACTGACTGACTAACTAACTAACTAACTAACTAACTACCTAACACGGCGGACCATGCTTCAGCGCCACCCCCCCCCCACCCACCCCGACAAGAGGAGTGGACTGGCATGTGCGTTGAGAGCAGAGTGGCAAGAGAGAGAGAGAGAGAAACACAAAAAAATCGCCGGCCCATCGGGCCAGAGGCGTGCTAAGATCTCCGGTAACTACTTTACAATCTTTCTAGTTCGCGCGCGCGGGGCGGCCCCTGGGGGGCCCCGGACGAAAAATACCCCGGCTGACCCCCGGCCGGGTCCCGGCCGATCCCCAGGGGGGAGGCTATTCTTCGCCACCCCTCACGAGGATCGTGGCCTCCGAGGGGGGGGCTGCAATCGACTATCCCCCCTCCCGCCCCAAGGGACCCCCAAGAGCCCCCCAAGAGGCCCCAAGGGAGCCCAATACGCCGCCAAGGAGCCCCAAGACGCTCCCAAGAAGCCCCCAAGAAGCCCCCAAGACGGCCCCAAGAGGCCCCAAATAGCGTTCCAGGGCCGGCGGAATGAGCGAAGCGATAGAATATAGAGACGGGCAGATAGTGTCAAGGAGAGAATGCGAGCATGAGGGGGATAGGGGGTAGAGGTACCATGTGCATCGAGATTAGCTTGGAATGCCCAGCAGCCTCCGAGGACCCATACGTCTTCCATGGCATCCTCGGGGGGAGCAGCGGCCCACACCGCAAGACCAGTCTCCCTGTATCCCGCGCGCCCCTCCCTCGCAACCTCCCCTTGGGGGGTGATGCCTCGCTGCCTCGCGGGCCTATGAAGGCTCCGCCCCCGCCCAGTTCTGCGAAAAGAAACATGCCGTCACTCTAGCACTTGCCTGCCCCGATACGCAGCACGCAACACGTGGCGTAGTGATACGGGGCTCAACACGAAGACTGGAAGCGTAGGTATGACGCGAGGCGTTCGCCAGAACGTGGGCCATTACCCCGAGCCAACACGTGAGCGTTCTTTTTATTCGGCGTTTCGACATTGGGCGGAAGGGGGGGGTCTGGGGGGGGTCTGGCTCCGGACCTCTGCTTAGCGCGACTGTTTGGAACAGTGCGTCCGATGGGGGGGACTCCTCCTGCTCGAAACGGGCGTCAAAGAACAGCCGAGGTCCACCCCAGGGGAGGGGGGAGGGAGGGGGAGATGCGAGGGCCCGCGCCGATCGGCAAAACAACAAAAAACAAAAGAAACGATCACCATGCAGCGCGTCAACACGGACGTTTGAAACTTGTTTGATCTGCAGGGCAAGAGCGAACCTCTTCCCTCTGAAAGCTGAGCGGGACGCGCACAGCTTTCATTAGCAGAGAGAGGGCGGAAGAAGGCGGGGCCTCACGCGGCCAAGAAAGGGCGACGGACGCTTGAAACACGGCACGTGTTGCATTCCCAGGCGTGCGTGCCCGGGCAGCTGCGTCGGGCACCCGGGCGAGCTCCGGCCAGGACTCCCCGGCGAGGCGCCGAGAGGCGGACCCGGCCGTGGCCGTCGGGGGCCCCCGCGGCGGCCCCTGGCTCCGCAGGATCCCGCAGGATCCCGCGCTCAGGCGGACCCCCGTTTGCACCGGCCGGAGGGAACAAACCGTTTTTGATCCGCGGGTCGAGAGCGAGCCTCCTCCGCTGAAAGCTCAGCGGGACGCGCACGGCTTTGAATAGCAGAGGCAGGGCGGAAGAAGGCGGGGCCTCACGCGGCCGGGAGAGGGCGAAACCCAGGGATCAGGCGGTGCCGAAGTTGACGTGCCTGAGGGAACAAACAATTCACTGCACCGACCCTGCAGACGTAATGCATCGGACTTTTGCGTGGATTTCTGCCAGTGCATAACCCCAAAGCGGCGAGCGAAAAACGAAGGGAATTCCCGCGGATGTTTTTTAGTCTTCATTCCTGGCCAACCAAAAAAACGCACGAAATTCACCTCGAACTCCGGAACGAAATTCTCCAGGACTCTCCTGGGCCCATCCTATCGTCTTCCGAACGAAATTCGCTCTGCGACGTCAGCGCCATGAAACAATGGCAGAACCATAAAAACTCAGAGGTCCGCGCGGGTTTCTCGGATCGTCGCTGGAGCTCCCCTGGCGGCGCCTCCGGCGCCGCCCTTGGCGCGCTCCGCGCGCCAGGGACCGATCCGAGAATTCCGCGCGGACCTCCGAGTTTGTATGTTTATGTCATTGTTTTGTCCCCCTCCAACACCCACCCCTCGAGCACCGGCGCGCGCAAAGGTTTATGACACTGCGTCGACAGTTCAACCTTGAATCGATCGCGGCCCCGAGCGCTCAGGGTCGAACTCCGTCGGGCCCGGCGCCGCCCTGGAACGCCTTCGCCGGCGCCGCCGGCGCGCCAACGCCGCAGGAACCTACGGCTATGTTGCTCCCATCGCACTTAAGCACCACGTCCAAGAAATGATCTCGAACACCCATAAAAGTATCGAACAAGTCTCGAGCGAGGGCGCGATCTCGCGGGTGCGCGGCCCCGCGGGTGCGCTGCGCGCGGGGCACCTGCGAGAGAGAGAGAGGCCGCTGCGGGCATCCCCGCACTGCCGCGGCCGGGGCGCCCCGGCCGCGAAGGCGGTGGGTGCGAAGATTGGCCCGCTCGGTTCGAGGAGCAGGGAGCGGCATGAAGAAGACGGTGAGGGCATTGGATTTAGGTTGGGCGTGTCCTCCTACAGGGAAGGGGGGTGGACAAAAAATTACAAATATTCAGAAAAACTAAAAAAAAACTCCAGAATGGTCAGAAATACTCAAAGAATCGCACCCAGACAATTTTTTTACTATGTTTTATTATTCCTCCTGTAAAGGGACATGTCCGATTTAACATTGGATACGGAACCGTTGGATCAGCGATAGGCCGTCGACAGCGAAGTCGCACGTTCCTGGGCGGGGTGGGGCTGTCAGACCCCTAAGGCGATCTATGGGCGAGTGGGGGTCAATGCATCCCCCCCTTTGCCTGCCCCCCCTGGCGTCGCCCCTGACAACAGCCTCACGACCAGGCTCGACTGCACGACAGAGGGTGGCCCTGGGAAAGAGTGACCTGTGGTGCGCGGCTTTTGGGGGGTGGGGGGCGCGAGGGGGCCAAACCTGAGCGCGCAGGCGTCTGCTTCGATGAGGACTTTGGATAAGGAACCATTGGATAAGGAATCCAGGGCCTGGAAGCCGGTGGCACAGCACTCGAGGCTTGGCCGTGCATCTCACCGCCGCCCCCATCAGATCCGCCGACCCCCGCTTGCCGGGTGCGAAAAGGCGCGTGACCTGATCGACTTCCTGGAGAGGCTTCTTAGAAGGAGGCTGCTCCTTAGGAGGCGCTGGCCTTACATCTGCAGACAAGGCGTGTGCCCTCTGAGAAGCAGGGGTGCCTCTCAGGAGCGTTTGAATCATTCGCGGTCGTAGCGGGCGTTAGGGGGGGAGGGGGTGGCGGGAGGGGGCATGACGTAGCGCTCTCCCCCCCCCCAGACTGTGGTGCCGGACGGACTGCCGCAGTGCCAGGCACGCACTGAGGTGGGGGAGCGTTACGTCAGGGGCGGGACGGGGGGGGGATGGTAGGGGGCATAACACGTGTTATAGCCCAGAGGTTGATATAGATGTGTATATATACATATATATATATATACACAAGCAACTTCAGGAGCCGTCCCCCTCCCCCTGCCCTCCCCTCTGCGTGTGGCTGACCGAGCCATAAACCCTGAGGGCTATTGAAGGGCCGCCCCTTACTGCCGCCCCCTTCCGCTGGCATGCCGTCACCCTTCCGCCGCCGAAGGCTGCGCCCTTGCTCCACCTCAACCGGCTCCAGCGGGCCTTCCTCTGCATTAGGGGCCTCCCAGATGGGGTCGGAGGATCGCCCCGCATCGCCCACGCATCGCCGATGCATCGGCGATGCACCGGCGGCGTCGGTGACGCGTCGGCGCCGTCGGTGTGGAGAAGATCAGGCTCCACATCGAGACGCATCGCCGATGCATCGGCGATGCATCGGCGATGCGGCGGCCTCCTCCGACCCCATCTGCTCTGACCTCATCGGGGAGGCCTAAACGCATTCAGCCGTGGGGAGGGGTGGGAGGAGGAGGAGGAGGAGCATGAGGAGGAGGAGGAGGAGGAGGAGGAGGAGAATGAGGAGGAGGAGGAGGAGGAGGAGGAGGAGGAGGCGGAGGCGGAGGAGGAGGCGGAGGAGGAGGAGGAGGAGGAAGCGGAGGAGAAGAGGAGGCGGAGGAGAAGGCAGCCTCTTCGAGCACTCGAAGGCCGCGCCAGCTGTGCGCTGGGCCACCCGCCGCGGGGCGCGAAGGCCAGCCAGCCCCCAGTCGATGCCCAGGAGCCGAGGGCCCTCTCTGGAAACAAAAATACAATAGTCGTCGTCGTCGTCGTCGTCGTCGTCGTCGTCGTCGTCGTCGCCGTCGCCAGTCAGGTTC